ACAACAGCTCCATGTAAAACATGTTGCCATTTATGTTTAAAACTTTTACCACCCGTGCCGTTCTGTGGGTGAACAATGGATAGATTGTTGTGCAAATATGATTTAAAAAAAAAAACAAAACTTGGATCCTGCCTTTGAAATTTAGCTTGAGGCATCTCCAGTGTCATTTGCATTCTCTTCTTTGTCACCAGCACACTCATTGCTGATGCTTGGGGGCTTGATGTGTTGCCTTCATCTGATCCTCATGGCAATAAATGAAAAAAGAAAATTAGCATCTAACTCTTAAAAGACTAAGGAAAAGGGTAATTACAGAGAGGCAGGGACATTAACAGAGTCCACATATAAGACAGAATCTTGGAAATATTAAATACTGATGCTGTTTATTAGATTGGAAGTCTTTGTTATGTCCAGAGAATTTAGTAGGTACTAGTAAGTAACAAAATAATCTCTTAGTAGTTGACCTTGTTTAGTCAAACTCCAAAATATGTATTAAATGCAACTGGGAATGAGTAACTTTTTTGAGTCGACAGACTCTTGCAAGCACGTTAGATACATTTTGGTGGACTGACTCCTGTCCGCTCAACATAAAAACGGGCGCGACTTTATTTTGTGTCAGGGCAAGTCTAGTCCAGCGTGTTTGGGGCCCTGTTACGCCTCATTGGGCATTTGGGCTCACGGAGCCACGTCCACGTCCCCGACACACTTCCTAATTTGGCAACAGAGTAGTCAAAACAGACGCATCTCCTTTTTCTTGCCGGGGAAAGTTTAGTTCAGCTTGTTTGTGAATTTGATAGAGGCGCAATGCTTCGCCGGGTGTTGCGGGTCATGTCGCTGCTGCATCGCCGAGCGCATCTCACGATTTGGTGACAAACCATTGGCAAAATTTTGGACTACCTAAAAGGAGGCCTAACGTGATCTTGGTGGATTTGGTCGTGGTACAGGCAGACAGATTCTGAGCTCCTCGGACTTGTGTCGCGGATGTCATCAAAAATACAACATGTGACAATCACTCTAATTGCAAAGTATAATCATGAGCATATTACAAAAATGAATACATTTTGTGTCCAATCCAATCCCGGTGAAAACGACCCCCACACCCATCTTCCTCCTGGTTCAGAATGACTCCCACTTCCCGATCGCTCCCATTTTAAAGGTGAGCTACAGTAAAACTGGCTGCCCATCTGTCTGAGGTTTTTTTTTTTTTTTTTTTGCCCTGCTGTCTGCTCTCATGAACGTTTTAATCCTGTAAACTGCACTTTTTAATCCTGTACTGTATGAACCTAGCATTAGACTGTGCTTTGTACTACACTTGCACTGGGAATGAAAGTAGGGCCCTTTTTCTTTTCCTTCTTTGTTGCATTCTCCTTTCATGCAATTTCCCCCTAATTTACTTTTTTTTTTTTTTTAATCCCAGAACTCCTATCAGAGAATATCAACAGCATTAGGCTTTCCACCGCTCTAGTTTCCGATGCTTCACCTACATTATAACTGCGAGGAAAAACTAACATGAGCCCACCGGTGTCCCACTGGCAAAGAATGTATCCCGGAGAAGATATGGGTAAAGTAAAGTGACAAACGACTGAATGGGCCAAGTGATGCTTCTCCTGACAATTATGAAGGTGACTCACCCACAAAACAGACAGCAACAGAGCCCACATTTGATTCTGCTGCATGCTTTGTTGCATGCTTACTCGCTTTACTTGTTCCTTGTGGACGGACTGTTGTAAAACTGCAGTTTACATCGAATTCTCAGCTGTTACAGCCAACGCGTGTGCGGTCACGCTCGCTGTGATTGCTAGATTACAATTTTCGTATCCTGTCGCCCTCATACTTATCACTCATGCTCCTCTCTCTTGTCCACTTGCAACTTCACGCAACATGACAATGCAACGAAAGGGAATAAATTAGGCCCTAAGTGTATGTATCCTCTATTTTTTTGAGCAGGCCTTGAGAGCACGGCTTTTAAGAACAAACATGACACCTTTGCCAAGTAGCTCTGTCAGTTCCCCTGATATAACCTGGCCTGCTGGCGATGCATGAGATACTGCCGTGTTCACCCTATGTACGAAAATAGCTCAACAATATCCCTCAGGTTTCAAAAGCTGCCAGCAAACCTATATCACCTGAAACAGACATGGCACGGAGTGAACTGAGGAAGAGAAATGGATCGGTAAGCTAAGGCAGATGGGAAAAGGGATGACAGGCTTTGTCGCAGCTTTGGGGGAAAAAAAAGCTGGAAAAAAAATACCCCCACATCAAATTCAAGAAAACAAATGCGCAGAGCATTTGGTCCTCACCAGTCCTCAGTCCTGAATTTCACACTTTTCTGTCAGATCACCACACCCTCAATAACATGGAGTGAATACTCATCAGTTATTCAGTGTATATACCTACATATCACTTTCTCAATACGGCCTCATGGATTTGTCAGATTTCGTTGCCGATTGACACACCACCGAAAGACAACTAAAATTGTAACAAAGGATGTGTATAAACCTAGATTTCTCTGAGCGATAAAGATATTTCATAATGTAGAACTTCAAACATTGCGAGACAGATGCTTCAAAGTTCCGTTCACACAGGTTTAAAAGACATACCGTATTTAAATGGTCGAGAAAAGGCCCTTTTCTTTTGCAGAAAAAAACTTTTGAACAAAACATTTGCAAAGCAGTACAATTGACTTTAAAAATGGCAGTTGAGTTGCAATGGAAGGCCAATGTTACATGTTTGTTGTTGGTTTCGCTGCGTAAAAGGATGGCCACGGAGATGGGCACACATACAGTCCAAGAAGGCTGATATCACAGGTCAGAGGATAAGAATATGGATGGAATCGTTACACTGTGGAACACAATTTTTGTTGAGTTAGCAGCTCCGACAGCTGTTTTTTAAAAACATTTATTTATTTTACTAATTTTTCGGCACGGCATCCAAAACGGATCTCAGCTTTTCTCGATCAAGTCACGTTTGTGAGCAATAGATCCTCATTTTCTTAACAGATCAAGGACTTCTCTACAATTGCGCACTTAAACTTGCTCTCCAAATACTGCTACAGGTCACTTTAAAATGGTGCAATGAATATCTGTATCAAATGCAAAACTGTTTTCATATTGTATTCTACCACAGATCACTTTAGCTCTGCTTGACATTTTGCACATTTTCTCACAGCTATTATTGGGTGGTACCACCGCACAACGGTTCACTTACATTACGGAATGTCTTTCCATACTTATTTGTCATGTCCTTGTTAATCGTAGCTGCCTGTTATTGATGATACTAGCAAAGCCTGTAATACCAGAGACAAATTCCTTGTGTTCTACATACTTGGCTTAAAAAGATGATTCTGATTCTGATAAGTATGTACAGTATGTTTGTAAATAAAACACCAAGATGCCATAGTTACAAACTTTGAAAAAAAAAAACTGCAGAAGACAAAATAGAACTTACAATGGTATGCCCATGCTTACAAGGTTAAGAGAAAAGCCAGCACAACTCAACAGATTTTTGTTTATTACTTGTTTCCCATGTTGCCCTTCTACATTCAACATCGAGTATTTATACGTAGGTTTGCACAGTTTGCACTTACAACTACATTTAATTTGTCGAAGATCAGATACCAAGTTGCTCATGGTGTAGTGGTACACTCGCCTGACTTGTGTGCGGGCAGCGTGGGATCGGTTCCCACTCAGTGACGGTGTGAATGTGGGTGTGTATTGTTGTTTG